TGCAGACCTTGAAAGAAACTTTCCGGCATGTGCTACTCGCTCTAAAAACGGCCTTAGCATTGTAATTAGAAGTTGGTTCTGCTACCAATGAGGATTTCATAACAGACCATGGCTTGAACTGGCACCTGAACTTCGTTCAAAGAGCCTTTGATTTACGTCACGCGACGCAACTAGATGATCCCCATCGGATTCATTGTGTTGGACTACTTTAACGATTGAATTACCTTATATCAAAGGCTTTTAACGAGGTAAAAACCCTTAAGGAATGATTCTACTGGGTTTGCAGCACTGATTCTTAATTGTTAGGGTAGGATCGAATAAAAAACAAGATAATTTCCTCCTCCTCGAGTTTACCACACATTTACAATTGATCTGTACCGCGGAAGGTTTAGAGACCTTGGAATATAAACCTTGGATTTTCTTATTCAGTTGTAGAGAGCAGCATTTCGAGAAATTAGTGGCAGACTTTTTTTTTCTATTTCTTATACTATTTCCTTTCAAATGTGCTCTATCTATTCTTTTCGTTTCTTTTTTCCCCTACTATTTTTTGTTCTGAGTTAATGCTTCTCAACGTTTAACGAGTTATGTTTATAAATATTTAATGTTTATTAATGTTTATGTTATTTGTGTATTGCGTCGAAATTGAGGAAAAACTGGACCGCGTCAAGAAGGAAGGAACTGAGTCACATCAGCTATAGAAAAAAAAACTGGGAGGTTTCAATTATTACAAGAAAATGGCAGTACAGATTTACGTGGATATTGCAGTGAATTTTCTGCATGATGCAAAGCAAATTCCTTAGAATTTCCGATGGAATCCGCACAAACGTACTCTAATAAAAATTAAAATTCCCGAGTTATAACTTTGGCAATATACTGATGCGGCTTGGTTCCTTTCTGCTAAACGTAGTCCAACTGAAGTACGAAAGCTATGCTTGACGCCGCGATATTATGCATGATGAATGGGCTCAACTTTGAAACTTGAAAAAGTATAGGATAGTCTTTCGGCTGAAAAAGTGAGATGGCCGGAAAAGACAGGGATCTGTAGTGATACCTACCGGGATCTAACTTTATGAATTTTGAGCACTGAGCAATAAAAACATGACCTATGTGAATATTGTTAATACATCATCTGCAGAAATAACTTCAATGCTTACCCTTAAAGATCGGTCATTGGTGCACTGATGCAACTCTAAATTCATTTTAAATTATCAAGACCATCCATCGAAATTCGTCAGTTGGCGACCTTTAAAAACAAAAACAGCAGATGAGGTTGCGTACAACTTGCTAGACATTTTCACGGTTTTTGGAGCCTCAGCAGTATTACAGTCGGACAACGGCCGGGAAATTTGCAATTCAGTGATAGAGTGTCTAAGGGAAATGTGGGCTGAATTAAAAATTGTGCACGGTAAACCGAGACATAGTCAGAGTCAAGGGAGTGTAGAGAGGGCAAATCAAGACGTCGAGAATATGGTCTTTGCATGGTGTAAAGACAACGGAACAACGAAATGGAGTCAAGGTCTGACATTTGTCCCATTTCAAAAAACAGGTCCTTCCATTCGGGTATCAAAAGGAGCCCTTTTGAAGCGATGTATGGATGTAATCCGAAAGTGGGGCTCAAAGATTCCTCCCTTTTTATACTTTAACTGACACGTCCCAGTTAATCTATGGATTAACTAGTTATTCTATGGATTAACTAGTTATTCTATGAAATAACTAGTTAAAGTGAGTAATAAAAATCTAATTACACACTTTAACTGGCTGCTTCAGTTAATGTATACTTTAACTATTTAATGTGTACTAACTGAAGTACATACTTTAACGCTAACATGAGTGTTTACGAAGAAAATGCAAGACGGAACCAAGTCCTAAATCGTTCGGTTTTACTAGATTGATGCGAGTTCCGCGTTTGCCTGACACGATTTACGTGGTTCACACATTCCGCGCGTAGAGGCGAAAGGGACGAGAAGAGATGTCGTGTAATCCACGTTGATATTGAAATGATCAAATTATATAAATCGATCAAAAGAGTGGGTGCGACGGTATAACGAACGGAGACGAGTGTCGGAGTGACGATAAATTAGCGTTGACGGGGACGAATGCATCCTGGCCTCCTTCTCGAGTCCTTTCCCTACGAGCACGTTCAATTATTCACCGGGCCGTCCTCTTTATTTTTTACGTTCGGGACGGAAACGCAACCGCGGCGGGGACCTCCCCCGAAAGTGATTTAATATGTATCACAACGTGAGAGTAGAGTTCTTTACGGTTCTCCAAGGAACCAACATGTCCAGGCGCCTGGGAGCTAAAAATGAGGCTACCTGGAATTTTGGGTACACAGCGAATTTTTTGGCTTACTTTATGTTTTTTGGGTCGCTGAATCCGAATCTGAAGTTTCATTTTGAAAAAATGGCCTAAAAAAGCCTTTTTTTGCGGTTTTTTATACAGCGACTACGCATGAGAAAAAGTCCCGGATTTAGTTAATGTTTTGAATAGCTGACATAATTTGGAAGAAAATGGTGTGTACATATGCTAGGTTTGCTTAAAAATTGAGGAAGAAACAGCATCGTGAACATCGCGCCCATTCACGTTTTCGCGGCGCACCCGTCAACGCGCGATCCGGCTCGCCGCGGTCAGCCAAGTTCCGAAACGTTCCAAAGTTCCGAGGTTCCTCAATTTTTGAGCAAACCTAGCATATTCATATACCATTTTCTTCCAAATTTTGTCAGCTATTCTAAACATTAACTAAATCCGAGACTTTTTCTCATGCGTAGCCGCTATATAAAAAACCGCAAAAAAGTCCTTTTTAGGCCATTTTTTCAAAATGGAAATGCGGAAAATGCTCACCAGATACGCGGTAGGAAACTTCAGATTCGGATTCAGCGACCCAAAAACATAATGTAAGCCAAAAAAATCGCTGCGTACCCAAAATTCCAGGTAGACTTACCAGGCGCCTGGACTACATATGTTTGTGAGAATAAAATGACCCAGCTACAGTGTCCACGCTTCCCGGATGCAGAGTTATTCAAAAGTCACGCACCACTGGCCATGAGGGGGTTGTCCATTTGACATTTTTAGTTGCCCTCCACCCCTCTGAGGGGGTCATAAACTGGAAAGTACCCTGAAAAAGTTTTCCCCTCGATACGAGGAAAATCGTCACAAACTGCAAGTCGAAATCTTCATTGGAACTAAAGCTATGGCCAGTGGTGCGTGACTTTTGAATAACCCTGTATGTTTCAATGGACCGCGTTTACACTGAAAAAAAAGTAGTTAGCGTTGAGAACTAATTTGGTTGGTTCTCGCCAAGTAGAATCAAAATTAGGCTTCAGAACTAATTTATTGTACTGAAGCACCAATCCATTCGCTTCATACGCTGACTTGACTTTACTAGAGCGCAAACCAGAATTGGAAAACAGCACTAGCTGTAAAATTAGCGCTGTGGTAAGACAAATTCACCTTCGGGTCAAACTAATTCGCCCTCAACACTATCTGCCACATTGTCCGTTACATTTATTTAGTTTCGAAAAAGTGGCGTCGGTACAACAGCCTCAATCGCGTCAGCTCGTGAAAATAAATTAAAATGTGAAATTTCGGGCTCGTTTGACAATGTAAATACTCCCGGTATGATTTATAGTGTCCTCTCTTTCTTGAAAACGTTCGAAAGCAACATAAATAAACTTGTTAAGGTTAGAAATCGTCTATTCAATTCAAAACGTAAACAAGCATGATATTCGTTGGAGTCGTCAATCTTCTATATTAAATTGCGATTAAAGCGTTCCGCGTTCAGTTTATATTTTTACGAAAATCTGTGAACTTACTGCTTACTTCTATAGTTCGTGTTCTCCCGTAATTTCAAAAGAATATCTCAAGTGTTCGGACGCCGACATCGGTTGGTCCAGTGGTTAGCGCAACTGATCACAGACCTAGATGTCCCGGGTTCGAATCCCGGCCTCGGTGGCAAGATTTGATGGTCTCAGATCTTGTCACCGTGGAGTGGCATGGATGTTTCTCTTCGTTTCTTCCTTCGTTTCTTCCTTTGTACTTCTGTTTCTACTGTTGTTGTAATCTTCCCATCATTTAGTGGTGGCTGTTTGTCTACACGACTAAGGCCAATGAACTATACCTAGAGTGCGCAAGCTCTCAAAAAAAAAAAAAAAAAAAAAAAACTTCTTTTCCTGAAAGTATTGTCCAGTTATCATTCGCTAAGCCGTTTTCTCCTCTCTCAGTTTTGAGGTTAGGTTGACCCAACCCTACCGAATGCGAATTAGAGTAGCGGAATTAGTTTCCAGCACTAATAGTGGTTAGTGTACAGAAACCAAAAATCATGTGTGTCCAAATCACACAATTTGAGTTAGTGTATAGAAACCATTTTTAGTCATCTGACGCTAACTCATTTTTTTCAGTGTAGCAGAATGGAACACGCATCAGCTATTGCCAAATTAACCGGGCAATTGGATTGGTTGGGCTTCTTGTGTTTTGGCATTGCTTCCCACGGTTTTTTATTCTTGTTGTTCGATGTATGTGCATACATGTAATCAACATACCCACCAAGCAATGAAGAATTTCAATATTGTATCGCTTAGGTTTGATCAATTCTATCAACCTTCTCAATTCTTCCGGAGATGATGGCTAGGGGTCACCCGCCGACACGTCCTACGTGCATTACTTCCCACGGTTTTTTATTCTTGTTGTTCGATATATGCGCATGCATATAATCTACATGCCCACCAAGCAATGAAGAATTTCAATATTGTATCGCTTTGGTTTGATCCATTCTATCAACCTTTTCCATTCTTCAGGAGATGGTGGATAGGGTCACTCGTCGACACGTCCTATGTGAATTACTTGTGTTTCAGCATTCCTCCCCCCCCCCCCCCCNGGTTTTTTTATTGTTATTGTTTGATGTACGCACATACAATCTCTAATCCTCTAAATTGTTATTGTTCGATGTACGCACACATAATCCGCAACCCTAAAAATAGCTGCTCAATGTCCTTTGTTTGCAGATAAATCGTACTGGTACGAGGAAGCGCGGCTGGCAATGAAACTGCGACTGGGAGACCACCGCGACACCCGTCGCGAGCGGGCCAAGAACGTGGTGCTCCTCGTTGCGGACGGCGCCGGGTTGCCTACCTTCACGGCGACGCGCATCTTCAAAGGCCAGCGACAGGGCAAGCAGGGCGAGAACACCGAATTGGCCTGGGACAAGTTCCCCGCCGTCGCTCTAGTCAAGGTAGGAAACACTCCACGAATAATACCCAAAAAAGTAATTCAAGTGTATGTGTATGTATGTGTGTGTGTTCAAATGTATTTCAGTGTTGTGTTAATGTATATTCCCCGCGTCGGATATTCCTAAATTTTTTTCTCCCCATATGAGGACTAATAGGTAAGAAAATCGGTCGCTGACATCCGCCAATTAACCTAAGAAGACTGGGGATGTGGTTGAAGAAAAATCGGTTGGTACTGAATGTACTGAAAACTGAATATATGGTATTTATTAAAACGTAATCCAAGTGAAAGGTGAAGACATCGGGTGAAGAAAGCTTACATAGATCCTGAATATACTTTATAATGATATGAACAACGAGCAATTAGAGTTTCCCAAACTTTCTTTGGATTATTTATATCAGCTATTTCTTGGGCCTTATCAGATCAACAATGCAATGGTCATATTACGCTGAGCATGAAAATGAAGGCATTTTTCTAGTACGTAAGTTTGAACCACCAGTGAAACATAGAACAGCAGGTTTAGACTTCGGGAAATGAGGTATCCACGTTACAGAGCCATTACTCGTTAAGGCATACATGAAATCGCGCTGCCGCAGAGGTAAACATCATCACATTTTTATCCTAGCTGATAAAGCTTAAGTAGGGGTAGATGTAATACGAGAGTGGTTCTGTACCTGTGAAAGTGGTTCAAGAACTGTTGGCTGCTGCAGCCACATAATGGCAATATTATGGTATTTGGGATGCGCCCAATATAGTGACATACCGACACCGATTCCAAGAATATGCGATGTACTGAAAACTAAATATATGGTATTTGAAGTAGGGCCTGGTACATGGGCGGGTAGGATAATGATAGAAAACTTAGAATGGGAAAGAGTTCGGGTGATGAAATATTTAGGGGTATGGCTATCAGAAGATCTGAAAAAGAAAGAACATATAGGAAAGGTGACTAGGGAGTATAGAGGTAAGATTAGTATGCTATGGAGGATTAAGGATTTCATAGGGAAGGAGAGTAGAAAGTTAGTGTACAATTCACTACTTGGAGCAAAATTAAATTACTGTATGTTTCTCTTCTTGGAGAGGCAAGTGGTAAAGATATTGTGAGGAGATGCGAAAGTTTCCATGATCAGGATCGGCCATGATCGGAAGTGACCGGTCAAGTTCGCTGGATGACGATTGCAGCGTCGAATCAGAGCGGCCAGGGAGTGCGCACGCGCAGAGGAGAGGAAAGCGCGAGAGAGCTTCAGAGCAGAGCGCGAGTTTCAGTATCGTTTCGGCTGTCACTTGGTGCGTGAAAGTAACAACGTGCCACGCTCAAACCCAAGTCAAATCGCCTCGACCGATATTCTATGATTTTCAATCGGTAGATGCTTATGTGCTAATTGCTGTTAGCTGCGAGATCAAAGTGCAGACCTTCTGTAAAGAAAAGCATTACAATTTCTACGCGAGTCAGAACGAGTATTTTCTCTCTTTGACCCCCCCCCCCTTTTGGTTCCTTTTTCCTACTCCCGGATCTCGCGAAGGTGACTTGATCCGAGGGATTTTTATCCCTCGCTATCGCCACCTTCCCCGAGGTCCCCCTTTAGCTCTCGCGTCGGAGGTTTGATCCGAGGGACATATCCCTCGCCATCGCCTCCTTCCTCGAGGGCCTTCCCCTTTTCTTTGTTTCAGGATATCTCGGGACGATGACCATTACAATATTAGAGTTTTACAAAAGGGACAGAATTCTGCCATGAGATACATACTAGGGTGTGATAGGGGAAATAGAATAATTAATATGCTGGAGACCTTAGGCTGGCTATGCATGGAATTGCTGATAAAAGCCAGGGTTTTCATTTTCATGTATAAGATGAGGAGAGGACTGATTGATATAAGAGATAGGGAGTTATTGGAGATATTAGATATGAGAAATGGAAGAAATTTAGAGTCGAAATACAACGATGCTAGGGATGTAGACAGTATGCTACTCTTTAAGGGATTGAGAGATTATACATTGTTTGGTTGTGAGAAATTGGAGAAAAACGCTTTTTTCCAATTCTGGAGCCCTCAAGAATACCTGTGCAAAGTTTCAGACTTCCAGCGCAATTTTTCGGCGAGATATGAACTGAAAACCATGTTATTTGTAAAAACAGCGGAAGTGCGAATCCACTGTTCTCCCCGGCCGGCGCGGCAGGACACCGCGGAGATTCGAACGCACTTGCGTTAGTTGCCCGCGCAACGGCCATGGGCTGCAGCTGACACTCAATGATGCGTATCGGAACCGTCTCGACAGAATGGACCACTAGACAAGGTACGAATTTAAGCAATCTGATACATGTTTCTTAACCAGAATTTCACGTAGAGCACGATTCGCACAACGAAAATTACTTAAACCAACTCCTAACAAAGATATTAACGTTTTTATTTCACATTGGTTACCAGGAATTTAAACTGCCCGCTCAAGAGAAACTCTAAGCCCTACGTGAGTCAAATCGCGCACTACAACGGTTTCTGCAAGCCTCTCAATCGAGCAATGATCATTTCCCACCATGTGTTGTTCAAACTATTAGCAATTTGCTACAGCTGAGCCAAAGCGTCAAGATTGAGGTTGCCAGATTTTTATATAGCAGAGACTGTCATGATAACGTTTAGCGCGCGATGTGAATCACGTTGAGCATCGAGTTTTCATGAGCGGATGGTTTGAATTTACGCATCAAGAATCATAAAATATCTTCGTAAGGAGTTAATTTCGGTAATTTTCGTTGTGCGTATCGTGTTTTACGTGAAATTTTGGTTAAGAAACATGTATTAGAATGCTGAAATTCGTACCTTGTCTAGTGGTCCATTGTTGATTTTTTAACGGATTTTAAGATGTGTTTCTTATTTTTGTTGTGGAAGTTACAAACGGTTTTGTTTTTTGTTCAATTTTATTGAATGACTCAGCATTGACTTACTTTCGGTTCATTTCAATCGTTTCACCAGCCTTACGCTGCGTTTTTGTGGTGCATTACCCTGCGTAAGGTGGTCAGCGTCGATACACGGGAGAGTTCATTTAAGCACCCCCTGGCGGATTTTATTCAAGCACTGAAGAAAAAAGAAGAAGAAAACAAGACGACGGTTTCGACGTTAAGACGTCTTAAATCTGGTTTGATAGGTGCTTCGCAAGAGTTGAGGGATGATATTTTTTCAAATTTTAAGACGAGGGGAGATAGCAGACATAGTGGAAGCTGATCCCTTAATTTTGAAAATTGGGTCAAAAAATCGCAGTAACCATATGAATGACACAAGACGACGGTTCCAACGTTAAGACGTTGGAGAGCGTTCACCGTAGCACCTCGTCAATATGTAAAAGTGATTTTCCGCGGACGGAAGAGAGCGCTGCGAGATGCTGTTGAACTAAACGTGGAGCGTATCCGGGGAAATATACATATATACAAGAAAAAATGTCTTGTCAACATAGAGTAAAATATAGAGGTCCTTGGTGAAAGGGTACTTCGTACCCAAAGATTTTTCTAGAACTACGACGACAAAAAATTTGAACGATCCTTGAAAGAGTCATTAAATAAAAGTACGTTGCAGAGTTTTAAAACGTAAAGATATTAATTTCTCAAAGACTAGCCTACAGGCATTACATAAAGTGGACAAAATAGGAGAAAAAAGGTAGAAATGGTACGTAAAAAAATTGAGAAATAAGGTATTGCATCCCGCCACGAAAAATGGCGCCGATTCCCATGGAGCAGTGCGGGCCTTTACCAATCGATTCATTAGTAACACACCCCCTGCAAAACGACGGGAAAGAGCGTACACTACTAACGTGGTGCACGCTCAAAATCTGACCGTGGAAGCCGTACTTACGGGCCTGTAAAGACGCGTCCTGGGTTCAGGGGCCGAAGTCCCGCGGGCTCGACACCCGGAGTAATCAAAGCTACGGCTCCAGTACCCGGAACGGACGCGACGCTATGTCTATTAATCCAGCCCGTAGCTTTTTCTGTCAGATCAGAAGGGCCTTTCGTTGGCGTTGGTGCGCCTCGCGTTGAGGAGGATTCGCAAGAGAACTTCTCCGATCGCAGTTCTCTCCCTGCAGTAGCCTGCTTCCGTTAGGTTCATGAATAATTTCATCCCGCACTCCGCACTCCACACTCAGGTTCTCCCGCCCCTATCCATTTCGCTGGTTCTGCTCAATCGACCTCTTTAAATAGTGTGCGAAACAGTTCCGCACCTGGTCTCACTAACATTGCTAAAGCCCATTGGTAAGAGAGGAACGCCGATATAAGAGCCGACCTCAACATCGAATCTGTAGAAGATTACATTACAAAAATGTACACTTCTTATGAAAATCGCTTACACAACCCAGAGGTACTTGCTTTGCTGGTAAAGGATGAAAGCGTAAGAAGGTTAAAACGCAGGAAAACCTACGAGCTTGGAATCCAAGGTTTTTCAAAATTCTTTCCATGATTAGCTTTATGTGCCTTATGCTTTATGGACATGTCAGGAGAAACTCGGTCTTTGGACGGTCAGCCCGTCGTAATTCAGATAAAAAGGACATTTTTATTTTGTGATAACTATGTTTTATTTCACACACTCCTGTTATTGTTAAGGTAATATATAAGTAAAAAATCAGTAATACTTAGTACATTTAGATTGCTAAGAGTTAAATAAGCTTTTAAAAGACTTTCTGAAATCTAAGCAGTCCTGCACAATGTTTTCTGTATCTTTGTGCAAATAAAAAAAAAAAAAATAAAAAAAAGGGAAAAAAAGAAAAAAGAATCTACTGATTCGTAATCGGTCGGAAACAACTTGGCACCTACCCCACCTTGAAATAAATACATTTTTCGTCCTGAAACTTGTCATCTTATTCCGTAGCTTTCATGATTTCAAGTAGGCCGAGTCCGATACCAGCTGGATATGTTCTGGATATAATCAGACATTCCAAATTGATCCTGTTACATACAGAAATACAACAAGAAGCAAACATAAATACAAACTCAAAATAGAAATCCGCTGTACGACAGTTGTATGAAACAG